TGTACTTTCCTTATGAAAGTTCTATGAGAGAAAAATTAAATCCTGATCTTCTGTTTCTTGATGATTAGAATTAAAAAACAGTAATAATGGATAGCTTTTTGTTTTCACTTAAAGACTGTGTACCCATTTCTGAACCCTTTTTGATACCTACATAGTGGGGAAAAAAAACACTTTTACTGTTTGCTTTTCTAATTGTTAATTGGAGGATTCTGGTTAACTGATGAAAAAAGAAGTAAGAGAGAAAATTCAATTTATGGACACAGGAAGGGCAGAAAGGTGATAATATTATTTGTACCAAATTCTCCTGACCCTGAAGGGCTCCCACGTTGTAAGTAGGGAGATGAACAGGGGTGAAGAGGAAAGCAGGAATTTGGTCTGCGGAAATTAAAAGGATGAAGTCTGGAATTAGAATGCTAAGAGAAATATTGAGTAAGTGGGTAATAATGAAGACATGGGTGATGGAATTTATGAAGACCCCAGGCTGGGAGATATATGGAAAGGGAGTTGTCAAGGGGAAAATGGAATGTGAGACACCAACATTAGTCAAGGATAAGAGGCAGGAGGGGAAAAAAAAGATTTGGAGGAGCTGAGGGACAACTTTCACTTCCTGTCCGTTATAATTTTTCAATTAATTAAGAAAAAGGAGAATTCTAGGTCAGGAATATAATGATCAGTATCATTATGTTAACATTACTCAGTGATTATGATATGCCATGCACTCAATGCTCCACACTTTAAACTTTCTGAATTCTTACAACAACCTTGAGACAGTATAATTTACCTCCATTTTGCAGATGAGGAAAGTGAGCCCCTCTCTTAAAGGCGTAGAGCACGGATTTGAACCTAAGCAGTTGCTCTCTAAAGCCCACACTCCACCATGCTAAACAGAACAGCAATCAAGGCAGGGAGCCCCAGGTCAGAAAAGAGTTACAGCTGCTATAATTTATTGGGTGGTTATTGTGTATCTACCAGGCACTTCTACTAGAAGTTTCACATATACTATCAAACTTTATTTCATTGTCATTATAATCCTATGAAGTAGGATTGCAATCGCTTCCCAACTCAAAGTTCCTGGAGCCCAAAATTTGAATGCAGATATACATATACATACTACTGTGTACCCTTTTTGGCAGGGTTGATAATTATGGTTTTGGTATAAAGTAACTGTAAATCATTCTGATTGGGATAATTAGGGAAAAAGGAAGGAATCAGAGAATGGGAAGAAAAAAGGGAGAAAAAGCAGAAGACAGAACAGAAGTAAACGTTTTGGCAGAGAAACTTTAGAAACAATAAGAAAATGGAGAGAAAGTAAACCCAGGTATTACTTCTGAGAAAGAGGAGGCTGAGATGACAATTTGGGACAAAGCTATGACGGCAGAACTATAAAACTCAGTGATTTGGGGAGGGCGGGTAAATGAATACCTATTCACTACTTACTCCTAAATGTTAAATAAAGGTTCCCAACATCGGTTTCAATGCAAGCATACAAGATACTCTTTATCTCTAGGACCATAAATAGTTGCTGAAAGATGTGATTAAGGTAATAAAATCAGAAAAATTTTAAGTTGCAACTCCAGTCTTAAGGCTTATTACCCACAATAAGATAGAATGAATTTATATCATATGCATTTTGTTACAACTAAAGAGGAGAGATCCTAACTAGTAAGCAAGGAATAGTAAGTGAAAATTTACTATACAGCAGTGATGCCTCATTCCGATGTGTGAAACGCCTCTGATAGTGTGCTGTCTTAATATTTTAGTACATATTGAAACATTTTCTACGAACTTTTACAAGTCAACTCACGACCTGGACTCTTCCAACTAATTTTTTTTTTAATCTCATAATGCCTTCAATTCCTTGAGGGCAGGCATTTTCAGAGTCTAACCCTCAAAAGAGAACAAGGTTTTGTAATATTGTTATTCGCACTGAATTTGTATTAATCAGGAAAAACCTCAGGGAAGTTAGGTGACTTATCCAAGGTCACTAAGATTCAAGCCAGATTTATCTGATTTCAGAGGTCATGCTCTTTCGCCGCAGCTGAACTACATATTGAAACCCGGTGCAGCTGATGAGGTAGGGTAGGGTCAGTGGATGAGGGAGATGGGGCGGCTGCGGAGCACCCCCAGTCTGAGGATGGAGTGGGAGGCTGCTGGGAGGGAATGTCGACCTCCGTCAGGGGTTGGCGAGGGATAGGGGCTCCCTGGGCTGGGGAAGGTTAGGTAAGGAGGGCCTAGCCGGGTCCAGGGAATCTTGTAAAAGATTCCGAAAAGGGTCGCCGGGGTGAGGAGGGCTCAGCCAGAGCATGGACGGTGGGGGAGGGGTGCCACAGGCCCGGGGGAGCCCCGAAGCCGGCAGGCAGGGCGACATGGCTTCCCCGCAAGCCGCGCCGGGGGCGCAGG